TATCTATCTATCTATCTATCTATCTATCTATCTATCCCTCCCTCCCTCCCTCCCTCCCTCCTTACTATTTCTAATTTTGACATTCCAGTCTCCAACCACAAGCTTATATGTTCTGTGAATTTCAGATGGAACTTAACAAAAAAACTCTATCAACCTCTTCTGCATTTATGGTTGGAGCATAAACTTGGATAGCCATCATATTAAAGAACTGTCTACTAAATATAATCAATATTATTCAGTCATTGACAGTAGTATACCTATGTACTGTCTTTGCTGTATCCTTCCTATGAAAACAGTGGCCTTGCTCCTTTGTTCTTAATGACTTAAGTAGTAAACAGGATAATTTTCTGTCTGAAAGTGTTCAGTTTACTGATGCTTAAGATGTCAGTGTGTAATTGATTCATTTAATCTTTCATTATGTTGAGCTTTCCCATGTTCACACTTCATACATTTCATGCTCCCGCTATAATTTTTATTTTTGCAGCTTTGGATTTCCTTTTCATGTAAGCTAGATGTCCCAAAGGCTTTAATTTAGCTGCATCATAAACAGCATCAACATATCTTTTCAATATTCTGAAAGATCTTCAATAGCATTTTGAGTGCCATCCACCTGATTGGCCCATCATCTGGCACTATATTGTCAATTACTCTATACATCTGTCCATGTGGTTTTCTTGGTAAAATACAGGAGTGGTTTACCTCTGCCTTTTTTTGTGCCATGTGAAATGATGTGTTTGCCATTGTCACTAAAGTGAGTACAGGTAGTCCTTGCTTACCGACCATTCAGCGACTGTTCAACCGAAAAGGAACTTCATGGCTGATCCTCAAAATTGTGGCCATCGCAGTGTCCCCATGGTCATGTGATCACCATTTTGGCACTTTGCAATTGGTGGGCATTTATGATGGCCCCTGTGGTCACATGATTGCCATTTGCAACCTTCATAGCCAGCTTCTGACAAGCAAAGTCGATAGAAAAGTCGGCAGGAAGTCACAAGCTGTGGTAAGGTGACGTGCTTAATGACCATGGGTGATTTGCTAACAATTGCAGTGGGAACTGCCATCATAAGTCAGGCATGGTCATGTGACATTTCATTTTATGACTATGTAACTTAGTGATGGAGTTGCCAGTTTCAGTTGTGGGTGCTAAGTAAGAACTGTCTATATCCATCTCCAGCATCTTCTTATATCATTGCTGCCTAATATAGGCACCTGATTGCTTTAGCTGGGCAGCTGCAA